GATCAAACTGAGTTAAATATCTTTGGTAAGTGATCTAGATTGGACCAAATTTGGTAAAATGATCCCCACCCCATTGATTGACATTGATAATCTCAACCTATTTAAAATTAAACCTTTGAGGTCATTGATGACAAAGGGGAAGAAATAGTGTATAAAGATAATGAAAAGATAACTAAGGGGGAGAAATTGAGAAATTAACATAGGGGGAGAGATATGACAAAGTAATGGATCAATTAAAATTTTGAGCACACAAGTAGGGGGAGCAAGCTCATAAAGTTGGTGGATGCATTTGAATGTGCATTTCATATGTTTGCTTGTATGGCACAAGTTTTAAATTTCAATATTTATGCTTGTGTGGTATATGCTAGTTATAGAATTGAATGATGAAATGAAAAACTATCATGCATAGGTTAAGAAACTAGACTTATGTTCATTTTATGGAAACTAGACCCTTACTTCTAATGTTGATCTCATGGAGTATTCTAATTTTTGTGTATGTCTAGTTACTAATGGTGCTAAGGATGGTATATTGATGCACTCCAATTGCTATCACGCTTCAAAGGTCCATCTCTTATACCTTAGCATCATTTGGTAGACACTGTCTCCTATATTTCCTATCTAAGCATATGTGCAAGCTACAATCCAAACTCTTAGCACATATGTAGGGGGAGCAATTGCTACCATTTGGGATTCATGAAACTTGTCTATATCCTTTTACACATGGTAAATATACTTGGGCAAGCAACATGGATTCAAATGAATTTCAATTCATACCTTTGTGAAAGGGTTGTCATCAATTACCAAAAAGGAAGAGATTAAAAGCTCTAGTTTGGTTTTGGTGAATTGATGAAACCCTAAGCGCTAACCTAGTTTATCAAAGTGATTATGAGATAGGTAGCACTACTCCAAGTGATGAAGCAATGGTGAAAATCATGATGATGGTGATGGCATGGTGCTGATCAAATGCTTAGACTTGGAAAAGAAGAAAGAGAAAAACAAAAAGCTCAAGGCAAAGGTAAAACTTGATAGAAGCTTTTTTGTTTTGGTGATCGAGACACTTAGCGAGTGTGATCATATTTAGGATCGATAGCCGTACTATTAAGAGGGGTGAAACTCTTATCGAAATACGGTTATCAAAGTGCCACTAGACGCTTTAACTCATTGCATATGCATTTTAGGATCTAGTGGAGTGCTAACACCTTTGAAAATATTTGTGAAAATATGCTAACACATGTGCACAAGGTGATACACTTGGTGGTTGGCACATTTGAGCAAGGGTAAAGAAGATAGAGTTGAAAAGGAGTTAGTCGCGCTGGTCACAGAGTGTCCGAACACGTCCAAAATTGGGACCGGACGCGTCCGGTATTTTATCTAGTCTTGGAGTATTTAGACAGAAGTGACCGAACACGTCCAGAATCAGGACCAGACGCGTCTGATATTTGGACCCGAGGTGAGCGACTAAGTGAAAGTGACCGGACTCTGGTTCAGTGGAGTGATCAGACGCTGACGAGTCACTGTTCAGTGTTAGGTCAAAGTGATATAGCCCGATGCAGGATTGCAGAGAGCGACCGGACGCGTCCAGTCACCAGCAAGCCTCGGGTTTTCAGTGCAATAATTCATCGAACGCTGGGAGCTTCCGGTTCGGTGTGATCGGACGCGTCCGGTCGACCCAGAGCGGCTCTGGGAGCTCTCTGGACTTGACCTGACGCTGTGTCTCCCGGGTTCGGTCGTTTTCTAACAGCGCATCCGATCACATAGTATTACCGTGCGTAGAGATAGCCGTTGGGCGCTAATGGCTAAACAATTTGAAAGGGACATATCGCGGTCAGGCAGCGATCGGACGCCTCCGGTCACCACACTAGACATGTCCGGTGCACATAGACTGTGCGTCCGGTCGTCCCGCAGTTAGCCCAATAATTGAGCCAACAGCTCTATTGTTTGGGGGTGTCTATAAATATCGTTTGGCTGGCTCTAGCTCACTCTCTTGGCCATTTGCATTGACATAGCAACCTTGTGAGCTTAGCCAAAGCCCTCCCACTCATCTCCATCTTTGATTCATCATCTTTGTAAGATTGGGAGAGAATCCAAGTGCATTGCTTGAGTGTTTGCATCTAGAGGCACTTGGTATTCGTATTTCGTTGCGGGTTTGGCTTGTTACTCTTGGTGGTTGCCGTCACCTAGATGGTTTGGAGCAGCGAGGATCGTCGAGCGGAGGTTGGTGATGGTCTTCGGCTCCGATTGTGATGATTGTGAGGGGTTCTTGACCTTTCCCTGACGGAGAGCCAAAAGGTACTCTAGTAAATTGCTCATGGCTTGTGTGATCCTTATCTTTTGTTGGTTGTGCGGCACCCTATTAAGGGTTTGACGTGTGATGCGCTAATTCAGTATGCGGACGATACACTTATGCTTCTCCAAGCAGATGCCAGACAGTTGGTCTTTCTCAAAGCACTGTTGCACTGTTTTGCAGAGTCGACAGGGCTCAAAGTTAACTATAGTAAGTCTCATATGTACCCCATCAATGTCTCCAATGAAAGAATGGCACACCTTGCAAGTACTTTTGGCTGTGACATAGGCACCATGCCTTTCACTTACTTGGGTTTACCCATGGGTATGACCAAGCCTCGCATCGAGGATTTTAGTCCAATGATGGACAGAGTTGAAAGGAGATTATCTGCATGCTTGACTTGGCTCTCTGCAGACTGGAGATGGTCAACTCTGCAATAACTCCTATCACCACGTATGCTATGTGTACCATCAAGTTATCGAAGGGAGTTATTGACAACATTGATAGGGCAAGGAAACAATGCCTCTAGAGAGGCAATGACCCTGAGAAGAAAGGTGGAAATCTTGTGGCATGGCCAACTGTGATGAAACCCAAAGAGAAGGGAGGTTTGGGTGTGATTAACCTTCGATTACAGAATGATGCTTTTCTCCTAAAGCAGTTGAACAAGTTTTACAATAAAGAGGATATCCCATGGGTATAGTTTGTTTGGAGCAAATATTATGACACCAAGGTGCCCCATGCTGCAAGGGAAATGGGCTCTTTTTGGTGGAAGGATGTGTTGCACCTCAACGTCATCTTCAGAAGAATTGCTAAGTGTGAACTAGGGGACGGCTCATCAGCTTGTTTCTAGGAGGACCTATGGTCTGAATCAGTGCTGTCCCAAGACTATCCAAAATTGGTCTCCTTCGCAACGAACGATGCCATTTCAGTGATGGAAGCCATGCGGACGAGAATCTTGATAGTCTATTTTTTCTCCCACTATCGTAGCAAGCTTTTCAGGAGTTTGAGGATCTGCAAGCCCGTCTGCAGTTGATCCCATATGATGGCACTGCTATCGATCAGTGGGTGCCCATCTAGGGTAACAAGTACACTTTGAGACGCTTTTACTCCCACATTTTCAGCAATGTGCAAGCCCATCCAATCTTCAAGGCGGTCTAGAAATCCAAATGCACCCCGCGCATCAAGTTCTTTGCTTGGCTAATTCTAGTGGACTGTTTGAGCACCAAGTCAATGTTGAGGAGAAGGCAACTGAACATTGAAGACAATATCTTCTGCGTCATCTGTGATGATGGGGAAGAGGAGACCATTGAACATTTATTTTTTTACTGTCCTTTTGCACGGGAATGCTGGGCTACTCTCAACTTCGTTTGGGATGGATCATTGCGGCTCTTGGATAGATTGGTGCAGGGAAGTTTGGCTCACAACCTACCCTTCTTCACAGAAGCTATATTGATTGTGGCATGGGAATTGTGGAAGATGAGGAATGACAAGGTTTTTCAGAGGTGACAACCGAGTCCGAGTGCCTGGCTAGCTAATTTTAAAAATCAAATGCAGTCTGTTCGTTTTAAGGATGACTTGAGGTCATCTTTCTATGTATAGTTAGATGCTTTTAGTTAATCCCTTATATGTAAGCACGGTCTCTCAATAAATTAATATTAAAATCTCACTGTGGCATCTCCCCCGTAGTATTTTACCGTAAAAAAACAACGTCGTGTCATGGCGTCATCCACTAAACCATCCCGCGGTGGCGGGGATATTTCCCGGTAACAACTAAGACTGTCTCTATTAAATGACTCATATGGGCACCCAAACTCAAAATAGGTAGCAGGAGATCTAAAATCAGGCTCCAACATAGTACCTATACGGGAGACTCATTTTGGGTTGACTGAGAGGCATAGCCCAAATATGAGTATCTTCTTTCGAAAACCCATTTGCGGAAATGATTCTCTTTTGGGTTCTGTCGTTAGAGAAGATATCGAATGTGTATCAAACCTTTTGGCTATAGCGCTACTCAAACGTTAAATAGATCTTGTATTTTGGGTGTTGTTGTTTGAGACAGTGTAACAACGAACAACTAGCAACTCCTGATCGAGCTCTGGCCTGTCGGCCAACAGCCGCGCTCGCGCGCGTCTAAGGCCACGGCAGCAGCGGCAGCGCGTTCCGCGCGTCAGATCAAATCCGCCCCACGGTCGCGGCCTACCGGCTACTGCACTGTGCCGCGACTGCCGCGTGAACCACCTGCTCTTACTCTTCTCACACACCTCTCGATCGCGCACGGCGCACCTCATGCTAGCTACCGCGACTTATGCGGCCCACCAGCGCCGTACGGCGGCGTCGTTTTCCTTTCCGGCGAGGGGGCCCGATCGATCAGGATCAGCTCGGCACCGTACCCCGTGTGGGCGCCCCGCCGCTGGCGTCGTCACGTCGATCGCGCAGGGCAGGGGCGGCAAGCAAGCAACCCCGACGTACGCCTGCTATGGCGACCTCTCGCCCGATAACAACACGTCAAGGCTCTGGCAAGTGGCCATTGGCCAACCAGGAGCGCTCGGGTGAGCCGCAAGACACTAGACACCGGCTGCGCGCGGCCGGTGTCAACAGCTCCGGCGAGCCTATAAATATCGCTGCTCGCCTCCCGTTCTCAGCAGCAGCCCAGCAGTCCAGCACGCACACAGAGCTGGTCGGTCGATAAGCAGTAATGCCTTCCACGACCACCACCATGTCCTCTCTTGCCTTGGTCCTCGCGCTGCTCCTCTCGAGCGGTGGCATCGGCGGCGCGGCGCGGCAGCTGCAGGAGCTGCCGCCGTTGCCCAAGCCTGAGGTGCCACCAAGGCCGGACCTGCCGCCGCTCCCCAAGCCCGAGGAGCAGCCGCCGTTGCCCAAGCCCGAGCTGCCGGTGCCACCGCAGCCACTCCCTGTCCCGTCGCAGCCCCTGCCGAAGCCCGAGCTCCCCGTCCCCCCGCAGCCCCTCCCCAAGTCGGAGCTCCCCGTCCCACCGCAGCCGTTGCCCAAGCCCGAGCTGCCGGTGCCACCGCAGCCCCTCCCTGTCCCGTCGCAGCCACTGCAGAAGCCCGAGCTCCCCGTCCCCCCGCAGCCCCTCCCCAAGCCGGAGCTCCCCGTCCCACCGCAGCCGTTGCCCAAGCCCGAGCTGCCGGTGCCACCGGTGCCCCTCCCCAAGCCCGAGCTCCCAGTGCCACCGCAGCCCCTGCCCAAGCCTGAGCTCCCAGTGCCACCGGTGCCCCTCCCCAAGCCCGAGCTCCCAGTGCCACCGCAGCCCCTGCCCAAGCCTGAGCTCCCAGTGCCACCGCAGCCCCTTCCCAAGCCGGAGCTGCCACCCCCGGTGCTGGCTGGTGAGCTTCCACCGAAGCCATGATCGACGATCTACGAGGACACAGCGCTCCACGAGACCACGATCCACATATATACGATACGAGTGTGTTTGGTTTGATTTAACGTATCAGAATTGCAGCGTGGAGTGTATATTGCCATGCCATCTGATCCGTGACCGTGATCTATGTATGTACTCTTGGTGAGATGATCCATATGTATATATCTAATAAATTGATTCGTTTGTATATGTACTTATGTACTCCTACTTGCTCCTCATCAACTAATGTCACGCCACCCTTGCATACCTGATCAAATGGACTCCAGACTTGCAAGTGAACTCATCATGAACGGACAAAGTTAGGCCCAAGCACTCACAATGTACTGCGTACTTAAATTTGGTTCGTGGCTGCCTGATCAAATGGATTATAGACTTGTATAAGTGAACTCGTTTTATGTTCAGATGTCACGTTTTCGTGAGGTTCTCGTTGGACCTCTTGCATAAACAACACGTGGATCAAACTTTACTTGTGGTCGTTTATACCGTCAAATTAGCCAACTGCTCACTGTACTCAGATGTGACTGTTGTTATAGCCTGAGCAAGATTTGAGTATATATTTCTTTTTTTAAAAAAAATCCTTCTAAAGATGTGATGGTTTGGAGTTCTTAAGAGTCTTCTCTATGTCCTCTTTAATTACTTTATGAATTAAATTAGCACCGATCTTTACAGACAGGTTAATCGGGAAATGCAAAAAGCCTTGGAATTTACTCTCTTATTGGATTCTAAACACAATCCTTTAATTTTGTCGAATAATTAAAATTGTGGTTCGAATACCATGACAAAAGAGCCTATCACAAATAATACGAATTAAGGATGTGAGTGTCTTTTGAGTTGCAAAATACTATCCCGTCGTGTCCCCAAAAAAAAACACTCATTAGAGCCTTTTTTAAGAGAATTTTTGGGGGGCACAGTGACAGTACTAAACCTATTCTTCAGTTGTATTTGTATGTGGGATGCAACTATTTTGATTTCATTTAGGAAATACCTTTTAACAACACTTTTGAACTAGATTAAAGCTTTGTCACAATATTGTAGAAGTTAAAATGATAGAAGTAGATTATTTTATTTTGAAGGCACTAACCCTCTTTTAAAAATTGATTTCATTTTCTTTTTTAGAACATTTAAAAATATTTTAAAAGTCTTGGATATCATAAAAACTACATTTAAAATACTTTTGACAAACTAGCAAAATAGTACTTACAATAAAAAGGGAGGTGACAAGATGAAGATATGGAAAGTATTGATATTCTAAAAGTTATACTATGATAAAAAAAAAGTTATATACGTTTTTCGGTGATGCAAAACATGTCAAAACGGGTTTTTAAAACTCAAAGGTTACTTTGCGTTGGGAATTGGGATTATTGAACCAAGCCCTTTTGATGATATTTGGTAACTCTGGTATTTAGCAAATTAACTCATCCAATCATACAATGTGTATTGATTACATATAAGAAGTATCTTTAAATATGAATATACCAACCAATTATATTAACAAATAAATAGATAGGACCATGCTACATTACTTCAGTTACTCCTTAGAAAGTAAGAGTTGCAATATATCATTTTACCTTTGATTTTTTCAGAATAGATAAAAAAATAATTAAATAAATTGGGAAAAATGCTAGCAACCAACCCTCAAAGAAAATGGAATATCCTTAGGATAAAAAACTCTTAAGGAAACCATAAAAACCGTCAAGAAAATAATTCCTGGTAGCCAACCCTCAAGGAAGGACCACTAAGGATAGAGAGCAAGAGAAATTGGATTACCTTTGGGGTCATCTGTCATAAATGATTTCTTTGAGGGTTAGCGTGCAAGAAAATAAAGACGAGGTCAATTTTTTTCACATAACTCTGAAGGATACATGTTTTCTTAAGTTCTAAGCCAAGGATATATATTTTCTTGAGGCATGATGGCACCAACAACATATAGAGCAAGAGAAAAAAGAAACAACTTGATGGAAGCCTATCACACAAATTTTCATGCGTGCCTAGGAATCAAACTCGTGACCCAAGGCTTCATGTGAAGCACCTAGAAACCATTATACCTTGAAGTAACTTTTGACTAAGTGAATCAATCTTTTCTTTTATATCCACTTTAGTGAATCTTGTAAGGAATATTTGAGACCCTAAACGATATCAAATTAAAAAGTTTGAACTAAATTTTTTTATATATCATCGATGACTATAACTTTGGTTTAGTCTGTATCTTCATCCGAGGTCATTGAAAAATTAAAAAAAAATAGAACCTTGAGTATTTAAAACATAATTTTTAGACTCTAAATAACTTCAAATGAAAATGTCATCAACTAAAAAAGATGCAGTTCTCTAATCTCTTTGAGGTCTACAACTTTGACTTAAACTTTGTCTTCATCCCATAATATTTGATATTAGTATATTGCATATTAGCTTTAAAACTTTTTTGAACACAATATACTAGCTTTAAAACTAACTAGACATCTTAAGCTAAGTGCCAATATGCATTCTCTAATGAATAACAACTCAAAGTTGTACCTTTTGTTGGATTAATGTACTAAGAAAAAGTCGTATTTCATTCCACAAACATATCAAGGTAGATAACATTTGTGTCTATAAAATGAAATGTAAAACTAAGAAGCATGCAATGAGTTTATTATATTGGTGTTTAAGCTAGGAAAAAGACTAGAAAATGATTATTTTTAGCGGCTACAGCAATTTATTTGAGGATTTGCATCATCCAAGGAAACTAACACTTCCTTGGTGGTTCCAATTACACCAAAGAAAACATGCATTTTTTGGCGGTGTGGAATAACACCCAAGAAAATGTTGAATTACCTTGGTAGTTTATAATAACACTCAAGAAAATATGAACTGCCTTAGCAGTTTCGAATAGCACCCAAAGACATGAGAAATTATCTTGGCGGTTTGTAATAACACTTTTAAGAAAATATGAAATTACCTTGGCAGCTCAGGTTAACACACTAAAGGAAATGTGGAATTACCTTTGTGGTTTGGTTAGCACACAAGAATACATATTTCCTTGTAGATTCCTACAACCTCAAGGGTAATGATATATTGCTCGAGGTTTAATTTCGCCCTTCAAGAAAATTGTTATAACAGAATAGCAGCCAAACATTTTGTTTGCTGGTACTGTTTGCACCCTGCTTTCCTTGCCATATATATACAGAACATGCACGGAAGTTACGCACGGATGCATCTGATGCCCAGCCTAGCGCATGGATTGGTCCTCTACGGCAACAAAATGTGGCTTTTTTCGATCATGAAGTTAGGCTTACGTAGGATAACTTCTATCTTGTCGCTTGTCTATGCTCTACGGCAACAAATCTAGCTTTTCTATTTTTGATAGTAATGAAATCAGGTTTACTGTTTGCTAGGACGGTCCAGCCTATGACTGTAAGACCTCTTAGGGCGCTCGTCAGAAGCGCGCCGTATGTGTATGGTTGAACTCTTCTTCTTAATTACAACGATGCCGAAATCTTTTACGTAAAAAAAATCTTGCATGATTATCACTTGTTTCTTGCACTATATGTATGTAATCATATACTCCCTCCATCCTGCAATACAAGGTATCTTCTTAGAAATTTTAGGACATAGTAGTATTACGGAAAGCAAATGATAGAGTTTCATAATTTTTTTGGTAAATTTGTTGCAGATAATAAATTAATTAATTACATGACAAATTTGCCAAAAAAAATTTGGTAAGCGCTGTTCAAGGCTGTGTGCAACGGGCTCCAATTTTCCAAGATTATGAAATGCCTGATGCCTGATGGCATATATACCAACCACATCCAAGCATGCAAGAAACTGAAGCAAGCGTGTCCGCCTGCAGCAAATTCAGCACGGTTAGACACGCGATCATTTTCAGCTGGATATGATCTTGCACCATCCGAACAACACTACCCTGCATGCCAAGACAAAGTACTTTTCAACGAACGAACAATATTTTCCTCTCACAACAAATCAGCGCATCAGCATCAGCATCAGTCAAATTTCAGGAAAACGAGCAGGACCGCATTTGACCGTACTGCGCTTGGCGGTGAGCCGGTGACCTAGAGCCTGCTGAACGCTGCTACGCGAAAGCGCGCTCGATCCATCAGCGACCTGAACAATCGGTCACCTTACCTATATATAGCTCGTCTCTTCTAGGACACGAGACGATCCACGTACACGTACTTGATCCTAAAAGGATAACGAAAACGACCAGAACCTACTACCACACGCAGCAGCTGAGCTACCACGAATCCGGCCGTTTTATGGCCAGATCGATGATCTGCAAGGACGACTCTTGCGATCGAGGTGTACTTGACCATCTGAGAGATAAGCTAAGTTACTATTAACTATTTTTTCCCCATTTTTCCTGGTTTATGTCCTGCTATGTACTGAATGTCGTACGCTGCAGGTACTCTCTTATTTTAGGGCTGTCGTCGTTTTCAACTCTATCTGGAACTACCAAAACCAATCGTTTCGTCTGCTTAGTTTTCAGATGCTCTCTGTATCGATCTCAGCTATCTACTGTTCTTCACATGCACGGCAGCATGATCACTTTGCGGTATATATTCGGTAGCCTAACCACAGTCCACAGATCGAAGGCAAGGCACCAAACACCACAGTAAAGGCCCGTAAAGGTAGAGCATCCACCAACCAGATCACACATATTTCAGGGGCATTCTCAACTGATTTAACCAGACACAGGTAGTACGTAGAGAACTAACTAGAGATCACACGGACACTAGACACTAGACACTAGTTGAGCAGATGACCTTGCTAGAGGTTTCAGGGGAAAAAATGCAGATGACCTACCATACTCCTACATGTCAGGCTGGCACGGTGTGGCACCAAATGTCAGACTCCCTCTTCCAGTCACACACGCATGCGTATGCAAGTGCAACCATGCCTTCGATCAACTATAAATAGCATAAGCGATTCGATATGGTTTCCAAGAAGAACCAGCTACCAAGTGATACACAGAGATCACAGCAGCACAGAAAGCATAAGCGATTCGATATGGGTTCCAAGAAAACCACGTCGTCCTCCCTCGCCTTCCTCATGGCACTGCTGCTCTCTTGCAGCACCATGAGCAGCGCGGCACGGTACCTGGAGGAGACGAAGCCTGCAGAGGAGTACCCGACCGCGCCGGAGTTGCCCAAGCCTGAGCTGCCACCGCACCCCACAGTACCAGAGCTCCCGAAGCCTGAGCTGCCACCGCACCCCACAGTACCAGAGCTCCCGAAGCCTGAGCTGGCTCCACACCCTACCGTGCCGGAGCTGCCCAAGCCTGAACTGCCACCGCACCCTACTGTGCCAGAGCACCCAAAGCCTGAACTGCCACCACACCCTGCTGTGCCAGAGCTCCCAAAGCCTGAACTGCCGCACCCCGCTGTGCCGGAGCTACCGCACCCTGCCGTCCCTGAGGTGCCAAAACCCGAGCTGCCCCATCCAGCTGTACCGGAGGTTCCGAAGCCTGAGGTGCCTCACCCGGAGGTGCCAAAGCCTGAACTGCCGCCACACCCCACCGTACCAGAAGTGCCTGAGGTGCCAAAGCAAGAGCTTCCGCCACTGCCAGAGCCCGAGCTGCCACCCAAGCCGGAGGAGAGCCACTACCCGGTGCCAGAGGCCAAGCCATGATCGAACTACGTACGTCAGTGTTGTCTCAGGAATAAAAATGTGTTGTACTAGTGTCTATATGTATGGTGTAGTAGTAGTGTGACGTTCAGTGTTGTACTACGTTGTGCTGCTTTGAGATGTACGTATCTATTGCCTTTGGTGTACCATATATACACGTATATATATTGATATTGTTTCATATTACTTGTGCTATTTTGTCTTCTGTATATAATACGAATCTCTGAGTTGTGATTCTGCACACACACAGCCTGCATATGTTAATATGTGGTTGAATATGTATGCTGAATTTACCATACATTTTGTTTATATATAATCAGGAAATTAAATACCTTACATTTCCTATGCTATTTATTTTGCGTGTATCGATCAACTTAAGGGATCAATGATAGATATATGCATGTATCAAAATATATGTAGTTTTTGTTCTTAATTCATTACCACCAGCACATAGTACAAAGTACAAACACACCAGTTTCAAGTCCGGAGCCATCAGTACATAGTTTGTTTCATGTAGAAAAAGCAAGTTTCCCCGAAACATGAAAAGAGTTTTGTGTGGGAATCAAATGCCACTAAACTTCTTTGTACCGAAGCTAAAGAAAAGAAATATGAAGCATTTATTTAAAAGTCATATCTTGGTAAAAAAAATATTAACCTTGATCAAATAACATCACCACATATAGTTAGCATCGAAGCCAAATAATGAAGTAAAGTGCATCTATTACCAACTAATTACAAAATATGTTGCCCTAATGAAACAATTAATTGTGAATGCAATTATTCAAAAATTACATTTTAAGAGCCCAAAATATATCCTTTGACAATTCAAATAATCTCACCAAGCCCACATCCGCGAGCATGTGAATTTTGAGTGGTTTAATTAGATCCACTTAGAGATGCAAGGGAGCTTTTGTCCGCGACTCCACAAATAATATTTGCAGACTCACGGATAGGCCCGCTTGCATCCCTAAATCCAATACATCATGTAACACAACAACTCAATCACGCAGCAAGGCGTCTGTGGTGACTCCATCAATCTCGAGGATTTGCAGACTTAGTCTTCAAAGATGCTCATAGAGATAGAGTTTACGTGCGTACATGCGTTGTGGGTGTCTACGTTGTAATGTGTAATTTAAAAAAAACACGCACTATCGCACTAACTGTGAACAGGTGAATTTAAACAAAAATCAGCTGGACGTACTTAATATGAGATCCACGACGCTATATATCCCACCAAAAATTGGAACGGAGGGACTTTGCTCTCAAGATTTTGCTAAGTAATTTTCAAAATTCAGAACGTACTGCTACGAAACCAAGCATGTCATCAGCGTGGACTAGCTCATGCTAAACTGTACGTTTTTCAGTCTTGTCCTTCCAAACACACATATACGGTCGATGAGAGTACGATCGAGACACATCGAACACGTGTCACCAAAGAAACATGCATGTGCTTCCATTTCAAACGAAAAAAGGTGCAGCTGCTCCAACCAATCAGATCGATCAGTTCTCAGTAAGTCTTTATGTATTCCCAACCGATCAAACCATACACAAGCAGGAAATCAGGATGGATATCAGAGGGACGAATTAAGGACCAAATCTTAACAACCACGGGGATGCAGATGACCTACCAGCTGCTACCAACGGCAACATACAAGATATGTGTGGCTTCATGGCTCCAGTCAGCTGTCTCATAGATCCTGGTCACATGCGTAGCTTAGCATCGCACAACGATCTAGTTTGCTCGCAGCACGTACAAGGGACACATGGCTGCCAAGAGCACCATGATGCCTTCCTTTGTCTTCCTCATGGCGCTGCTGCTCTCGTGCAGCGGCATTGGTGGCGCAGCGCGGTTGCTGGAGGAAGCGGCGCCCAAGGAGTACCCGCACCCGGCCACGCCGGAGCCGCCGCCGCACCCCACGGTGCCGGAGCTGCCGAAACCCGAGGTGCCAACACACCCAGAGCTGCCACCTCACCCCACTGAGCTGCCCAAGCCTGAGGTACCCGAGCACTTGCCGGAGTTGCCCAAGCCCAAGCTGCCTCCTCCTCACCCAGCTGCCGTGCCTGAACTGCCCAAGCCTGAGGTACCGGAACACCCCGCCGTTCCAGAGCTGCCGAAGCCCGAGCTGCCTCCTCACCCCGCCGTCCCGGAGCTGCCAAAGCCCGAGCTGCCAGCGCACCCCACCGTGCCGGAGCTGCCGAAGCCTGAGCTGCCTCCTCACCCCACGGTGCCAGAGCTGCCAAAGCCGGAGCTGCCCTACCCGGAAGTACCAGAGGTGCCAAAGCATGAGCTGCCGCCACCGAAGCCCGAGAGCCACTACCCGGTGCCAGAGACCACCAAGCCATGATCGCGACTGCATGCATTCGTCGCTGTCGCCCCAGTAATAAGCACGTTATGTACTTGTGTGTATGATGGTGTAATAATATTTTATATGTGTATGTTTGTGATCTCGTTGATCACTAGCTAGCTAGGAGTGTGATGTTTCAGTGCTGTACGCTGTGCCCCGTTAGTTTGTCCTTTGATGATGTACGAAAATACTGGCATTTATGTACTATATAATATATGTGAATAATGTTTCATTCATGTTGTAGTTACATTGCTTTCAGAAACAGTGAAGTAAGGGTCTGTTTATTAGAGCTCTTAGAGCAACTTCTAGGCTGAATCCAAGTGAAGCTTAGCCAAACAAGTATTTTACGGAGAAGTTATTATGTGCTAACGGAGTGCTTCTCTGAAATGAACTAGAAGCATGTGAGGTGAAAACAAGTAGCTTATCTTAATTCACTTTGTTGCACATAATCACTTTCAACATAGAGTTTGTCCTAGCGAATCCAAAAATCACCTTTAAGCCAAAAATCAGTTCTCACAGAGGATCAGAAATAGGGGGCCAGTAGCCCTATGAAACAGATCCTAAAGTGTCCGGCTAAATCCAAATTCTAGACAATACACGTATATATGCAAATTATGCATGACTGGTTATAGGATTATATTGGTTGATACAAAGTGCTAACTGTATTTGAAGGGAAAGGGCATATATACATTTGTTTGTGTTGGAGTTAGAATATTAATCTATGGGTGTCTAATTCTAAGTACTAGTACATACCTAGTGTAGAAAATGTCCTTTGCTTATTTGTTCATAGTAGTTTCTCTAATTACAAAAGTTCACGACACCACCGTTTTTGTTCTTATATATGCATCACTAAAACAAATAGAAAACGATCAGTAAACCAATTATTTGGCGTTGAACACATGGCTAGTTTGGTTAAAATAGAACAAAATTAAGATAGCAAAGTACAACTAAATTTTTTATTATTAATAAGTTTTTGTGTACATATATTATAGAGCCCAAATTTTAAAATTCAATTTCCAGAAACAAAAATTTAAAAGTTACTTTTCATCCGCAAATATATATAGTGTTGTTGTATTGATGAAGAAATGCAAATAAACTCTTAAATGATTGCGTTTTCCAACAGGGAGCAATATATATGTTTCCTTAGGCCTTGTTTGGATGTCATCAGATTTACCTCAATCCACATGTGTTGGGGTAGATTGAGGTGGAATTTAGTTCAAGTTCTACTCCAATCTGCCCCAGCACATGTGGATCGATATAAATCCGATTATATCTAAACAAGGCCTTAGTTGTTCGAATTGTCACCACATACATCATAGATAATATGCATCCTAGTAGTACACTGATACATTTGTTGGCGTTTTAATACATGCAGCACCTCATGTACCAAATTAAGGGGCATATTTTTTATGGGACTTGCTAGTGCCTGGACATCTGATTCGAGGCGCTGGCATCGGACGGTGCTCCTGAATCCGCGCCTGACGCAACCATCCCACTCCAGAGGCCGCACGGGCCCATGCATGCACAGGGACCACCCCGAGCCTGCTCCGTTTCACATGCCCAATTACACGCAGTAGCACCACCACCACCACTAGCAGGCGCGTGCGGTGATCCATGGAGGTACGGTGACCTACAGTGACGCACTATCACTAGCAGTATGTGTTTTCCCGAGATATACTTTTGAAACATCCAAATAAAACACTTGAAACATGCGCTTGAAACATGTATATATAGCCATAGCAACATGTGCAACACCAGATCTATTATAGATGCAACACTTGCAATATACAAAAGAAGACGGATGAAACATTTGAAAAAAAAACTTGAAAATACTTGAAACCCATATCAAAACATACGCAACATCCAGATAAAACACTTGCAACATATGTGTGAAACATATGCAATATTCAGATAAGCACACTTGCAACATATGTCTGAAAAACAGATGAAACATTGGCAACAGACGCTTGCAACATACATGTGCAAACCATTGCAACAAATGCAACATCCCGATCTACTTTTGCAACATCCGTATGAAACACTTGCAACATACATGTACAAACCATTGCAACAAATACAACATCCCGATCTACTTTTGCAACATCCGTATAAACACTTGCAACATCCGTATAAAACATTGAGAAACATTTGAAATGTACGCTTGCAACATGCGCTTTCAGCGCAACATCTCTTTGCGGCTTGAGAGAAATGGAGGTTCGTCGGCGTGTGAAGTTAATCGGTCTAGAGCTCGCCGGTGGTGCGGAGCGATCGGCAAGGGAGCGCGATAGACATCGAGCGCGGCGGCCGGAGCGGAGCTGCCCTCCGTTTCTTCGAGCCCGGCCGGTGATGGAGCTTTGCGTTGTCGGCAGACCAGCCAAGGGACACCACAGCCTTGGAGCGGACCGGGCAGGGGCAGCTGCAAACCAACCAAGGGGCACGATGGGGTGGCGGCTGGAGCGGAGCCGCCCTCTGTTTCTTTGAGCCCGGTGATGGAGCTATGCGTCGTCGGCGGACCGGCCAGGGGACATCGTAGCCTTGTCGCGGACCGGCCAGGGAATGCGATGGGTTAGCAGCTGGCCTTGGGGCACCGTGGATTACGGACTCCGGGGGGCACTGGCGAGGCCGGCGGCCAGCGTAGGAATCCCACGGTTGCGGCGCTGCGGAGCACGGTCGTGGTGGAGCACGATTTTGCAGCACTGTGGTGGAGAGCCTTCTGGAGAATGGAGCAGCAGAATAAGGTTAGAGACGAGTGAACAATGGGATATGCCAGTTGGGCTATGGGCTGGTACCGCGGCCCGCGAACGCAACGTCCGGACAATCAGACGTCCTGACCAGAGTATTACCGTTTTTTTATCACTTGTATGATGAGATCGGCCGGCCTGAAGCTAAGCTTGCAGGCGGGTGCTCATATGCTTAATCTGATGAACTTGCAAAACAAAAGTTCAACACAGAGCCATTAATGATCTTTTTTCTGAAAGTAAAAAAAATTGAAAGTGAGATTAATGATCTCAAAACGTGTAATTGATTTTGTAAGAAATGTCTTTAACATAAGTACTTAATTAGCTGATGAAAGCAAGTTGTCTGAAAAATGGCCATGCCACATTTCTCTGGTCATGTTCAACTCGCTTTACAACTACTACGAAAAAAAAGGCTCCTGCTATCTTCTCACAGTCTGACCTTGAATGCACATCGTGTCATTATTTGCGTTATCCGGTGGCCAAACACAAACACATCGATGAGACAATGAGATACGTCGTACACGTGTAGCCACACAACGCAAGGTGATTCAACTAACCAGATCTCTCAGATGGTCTCAGTATTCCCAACAAACTATACCATACATGAGATGGATCAGGAGAGAGCAAGCACACACAGAGAGATCCAAAGTTGACAAACATGGGATGCAGATAGCCAACCGATCACCAAACGATCACTACGTGGATCAGAAAAAGAATAGACCTCGATAATGGTTCCATTTATTTGTCACTACAAATACCATGATTTCCCTCTCCCCAGTCACCACACAAGTACACAACGATCTTCTTCTCACTGGCCATAGGTGTGTAGAGCAACTCGATCGCTATGGCTTCCAAGAGCACAATGCGTTCCATTGTCCTCCTCGTGGGGTTGCTGCTGCTCTCATGCAGCGGCACGAGCAGCGCGGCACGGCTGCTGGAGGAGGTGGCGCCCAAGGAGGAGTACCCGCACCCTGAAGTGCCAGAGCTGCCCAAGCCTGAGCTACCGCCGCATTCAGTCGTGCCGGAACTGCCAAAGCCCGAGGTGCCCGTGCATCCCGCCGCCGTGCCGGAGGTGCCGAAGCCTGAGCTGCCACCACATCCCACCGTGCCTGAGCTGCCGAAGCCCGAGGTGCCGGAGCACCCTGCTGCCGTGCCGGAGTTGCCAAAGCCTGAGCTGACACCACACCCCACCGTGCCTGAGCTGCCCAAGCCCGAGGTGCCGGAGCACCCTGCTGCCGTGCCGGAGTTGCCAAAGCCTGAGCTGACACCACACCCCACCGTGCCTGAGCTGCCCAAGGTGCCGGAGCACCCTGCTGCCGTGCCGGAGCTGCCGAAGCCTGAGGTGCCTGAGCACCCCACCGTGCCGGAGCTACCCCACCCGGACGTGCCGGAGGCACCAAAGCATGAGCTGCCACCTGCTCTGCCTGAACCAGAGTTGCCACCAAAGGCCGAGAGCCACTACCCGGAGCCAGAGACCAAGCCTTGATCGGCCTTCATTAGTGAACACTTTATGTATGTGTACGTACGTATGGTTTAAACTTTGATGTCTGCCTGCGATGTTGTTGGCCGTGCCCCATACACACTACTAGCTAGGAGCGTGATGTTTCCAGTAGTGTATGTATGTGTATTTGCTTTGTATGTATGCATGTGTACGTCTGTACTTCTGGTTATAATGTCTATGCAGAGTATATATATGCATGTATCCCACACGTTTCATTTATTTATTTATTCTTGAGGTTATACATGTGTGCCTTGAAACTTCTTAAAGTTTTAGGAAAATTCTTTCTGAGAGTATGTTGCAAACAATGAAACAAGTAAAGTCCTTACAGCTAGCAATAGCACTAGCACATGAATGAAGAAGGTTTATTTGAGAGCGACAAGAAGAACCTAACAAACTACTACTACTTCAATTAACAAGTATTCTCTCCGTTCCAAATTATAATTAACGCTTTGGTTTTTTAATGCATTATTTTTATTATGTACCTAGACATAGTGTATACCTAAATATATAGCAAAACCTATATATCTAGAAATAAAAGCAAAACATCTTATAATTTAGAATAGAGAGTACTTTTTACATTATACTGTAAAACTAAAATTAGCATCTTTGTTAAACTCATATAATTTGTATTATGAAGCTTCTTTTAGTGAAACTTCTGATATTGTATGGGGCGTTTGGGAGAGCTCCAGCTTTAGCTTCTTCGAAGAGAATTGCTCCCAACTAGCCAAACGCTCAAAATGCCAACTGATTCGGATGATAGTTATTAGCAACATATGGAAAAACTCAAAAACGATTGGAAAAGCCTTAAATTGTATATATCTATTTTAGTTGGTATTTATTACCCACTTTTGCCACTATTATACAACTATACAAGCAAGATTAGTATCACCAAATATCTGTATACAAACAAGATTAGTATCACCAAACATATCGACTAAGTATATACATATGTATATAGAAAGTGACGAACATACAGATTTCATGTTAAACACATAGCTCGAGCTAAGGTTTAATTTCATCTTGAACTTTTTAAATAACTGTTTTCGTCCTCAAACTCTACTTTTAGACTTAGTTTCATCCTAAGACTATTAGAGTAATCATTTTACTCCTTAAACTTTGCACTTTTTGGCTCAATTTCATCCCTACTAAGTGTTTTTTATTATAGTCCTTGAACTTTCACAGTTCATGGAGATGAAAATTGATCTAAAAATGTAAAGTCTGAGGACTGCAATTATCGCTTTGATAGTTCTAGGATGAAACTAAACACAAAAGTAAAGTTTTGGGACTGATGGAACGACCATTTTAAAAGTTTGAGGATGAAATTGAGCCTTAGATGATAGTTGAGGGACCAAAATGATGATTTTGCCAAGGTTTTAACTACACATATTTCAAGCACACTTTTAGGTGCAATGCAAAAAAGAATAATTATGAGTGGGAAATGCAGAATCATATAAAGCGATTAGTGACTAGACAAGTATTGTGTTAGAATATGAACAAATGGGAGAGATTGCACAAAGATAAGAACTTTTGAATATCTCAGATTCATCCACAAACTTAAACTTATCTTTCTTAAAGTTACTAGCCTGCCTTTGGAGCACATAATGATGGATCATTTGTTTACCAAATTCAAAGAATGGATTGGAAAAGGACATGAATTACAAACAAACAAAAAAAGATGGTGCTTTGAATAAATTTACGGAATACGTGTTTGGGTCATTTTCAACTCGATCGCTTAAGTATTTTATTCAGAGCTAGTAAATCCACCCATCCTCTCGTGAGCATAGATGTATTCATGTTGGTCTCTTTCTTAGTCGATTCTTGGCATGCAAGTCCACACCTTTGCGCAATCCGGTAGCCAAACAAATGTAGATTGATGAGATATTGTACATCGCACACGTGTAGCTATAGCCTACATTATTGCCGCTGCATCGACCAATCAAATCACTCAGGTCGTCTCAGTATTCCCAACTAACCAAACCATACACAAGTGTAGATCAGGAAAGTATCATTGCCAAGGACAAAGTTAAACAACCACATCGATGCAGATGACCTACCAGCTCTGAAACGACAAGATCTCAAGCCTTCACTGAACTCTATAAATAGCAGGTTGTCTGCGTTCCTAGCCATCACACACAACCATCTCCAGCTCTAAGACAAGAAGCACATATACAGCACGATTGAGAGTAAACCATCGTCCAATCATGGCTTCGAGTTCCAGGAGCACCGTGTCTTCGCTTCTCTTGGTGGCGCTGCTGCTCTGCTGCAGCGGCATGAGCAGCGCGGCGCGGTTGCTGGAAGAGGCGCCGCCCAAGGAGGAACACCCACACGCTGCCGTTCCGGAGCTGCCAAAACCCGAGCTGCCGCCGCACCCTACCGACGTCGTGCCGCCTGAGGTGCCCAAGCCCGAGTTGCCACCGCATCCGGCTGTTCCCGAGCTGCCGAAGCCTGAGGTGCCTCACCCGGTGCCGGAGCAGCCCAAGCCCGAGCTGCCACCGCACCCGGCCGTCCCCGAGCTGCCCAAGCCTGAGGTGCCTCACCCGGTGCCGGAGCTGCCCAAGCCCGAGCTGCCACCGCACCCGGCCGTCCCCGAGCTGCCCAAGCCTGAGGTGCCGCACTCAGCGCCGGAGCTGCCCAAGCCCGAACTTCCTCCTCACCCGGCCGTCCCAGAGCTTCCAAAGCCTGAGGTGCCGCACCCAGTGGCGCCAGAGGTGCCAAAGCCTGAACTCCCTTCTCACCCGACCGTGCCAGAGGTTCCGGAGGTGCCAAACCACGAGTTGCCGCCTCTGCCGAAAGCTGAGCTGCCACCGAAGCCGGAGGCAAAACCATGAGCGGACGTACAGTCCCACCAGTTATCTACACATTTTAATTTTTACCACATGTGCATATTGTGTAGTTTATGCACAGTTATAGTACCTATATATGAGTTGTGATGTTGTGTTCTTGCGTACGAGCCAGAGCTTGCTTGTGATGAGCTAGCTAGCTATCAGTTTGGATCCATATATATATGTGTAAATGAATAAAGATTTATAGTTACTATATTTACACTGTTGAGAGTTATTCATGTGTACACAATGTATGTGTTTTTCATCTTGCTTATTATTGTTTTTTTTTAGTAAATGCTCATTTTGCAGAAAGTTAGTAAGGACAGATCATCTCAATACATGTTGTATGCTGAAATGTGAAGTTTTCCAGCAAATGCCCAAGCTGTTATATAATATACATCTGCATATTGCCATTTTCAGATAGAACTCAAGGCCGTGCATGTTTGGAATGAACCATGTTATTCACGTCCCGTTTGGACTAGCTAAACTTTTTGAAAGCTGCTAATAGCTTTTTATAAGCCAGATGGTTGGATAGTTTAAAATGGAATATAAGCTAGAGTATAAGTTGCATTGTTTGGATCAACTAGAACTTTTTTAGCAGCTACTAGCAATTTATTTTCGTCAATCTAAACAGGACCGGAATAATCTTACGAAGATTTTGCTGGTAAAATAAAATGACAACTTAAGACTTGTTAGTCGTCCATGAGCGTGAGTCCATGTATATCATTTCATTGCCGAATCATCGTCAAGGGAAGTCAGATTTTATTCTTTTATGAATTTGTCATGTACTATTTAATTTGCGTGCCCATCGTCGCTCTAGAAAATGTTTAAAGTCGATCATGAGTGATCACTGATAATCCATCAGTATAGGCCTATATAGAAAAGAAAACTAATCAAAACTTTAAATCTATCTAAATCTCTAAAGGGAATAACCAAATAATAGTTCAAGAAAATCAAAGAAAAATGGGATTTCCTTGGTGGCCAAGGATTTTCTAGAGTGCCAAAAAACCAAGTCGCTGAGGAATATTGCAATTTCTTAGAGGTTGTAGAAAGTCTACAAGAAAGTATATATTCTTTAGTGGTTAAGGCATTTTCTTGTCCCTTTGAAGAACTTGATAGATCGATATCCCTAGTTTTCTTGGCCGCCAAACCTCCAAGGAAATAAACCTTGAGGGTTAGCCGCCAAGAAACTGAATTTCCCTTGTGCTATATATCCTTAGTAGATTTTGCTTGACAGTTCGCCATCAAAGATCATGTCCTTTAGCGGTTTTAGTACTTTTCATTTAGCCACCAAAAATAAATTCCAGAGTATGGCAGCGTACCAGCAATTTGTTTCCTAGAGATATCCATCTCGATGGTTAATGGATCATCTATGCATGATGTGATGTTATATAATCCTGCAAGTAATCCATACAAGGTACACTTGGCATGAAGTGACATCACTTTATCATTTCCCGTAGTAGTTTCATCAAGCTATATGTACTGAACGGTAAACTAAAACATCACACCAATAGCTTTTAGCCTGTAATTGGTGTAGCTCAAACTCTAGTTCCGAGGGCACCTCCACTAGAGCAAATAGAGCCACAAAACATTCGGAGGAGAAAATAAAGCCGTTTGGGCATGGAATAGAGGAGTCGGAGGTGTTTTTGAAAAACGAAGAAGAAGCCACTATTTGAGGCTTCAACCTCTAGCTCAGGGCGCATCCAGGATATCATGTCACTAGAGTCAAGCACTAAGAAACGGGCCAAAGATACATTGATTCTCTATTTGAAAGAGTAATCTGCTGGCGGATAAAAGAACTTTTACTGAGTTCCGAGAAGTTACTGGATTGAGGTGACCTCAGTGAAAACATGTAGATTCGTCCCTACTCTAGCTCCGGCAGTGGATGAGGAAACAGTCCTGACGCGCATAGTTTCTTTTTAGATCAACATTATCTGACGTGTACTTAAGATAACTCTTTGTTAGCACAGTTTAAGATGGAGCAACTACCAATAAACTTATTAACACACCCGGTCACCATCCCGATGTTGTTACGTGTACGGTGTACATCAGTATTTACCGTGCATTACCAAGTCTTTTTTTTTTTGGAAACCAAGCATCATCTATAGCGAGAATGACCCAGTATCTATGTATCCATCAGTCATATATGCACCTCCACGCGAT